ATTCCTTACTAATCTGTAGATTATGTATCTTTGTTGTTAGCTGAAACCATAATTTCTAATATCTTTTGGAAGTTTGTCTTTGTTGCTCCATGTTTAGCCTCTACAATATGGTTATATGCAATAGGATAAGTGAAAGAGATTTGGAGTTCTGTAGTTTTTGAGAAAGATATTTTGTTCATTTGATCCACAAAATATCAAAATGTTTCTTGGAATCCTTTATTTATTTGTATGTAATGCAGTTTCGAGTTGTAGCTTCTTTTTCCTTGTAATTTATCCGAGTAAATTTAATGAAAATCCATACCATAATAAAAGACATAACATGCTAGCGAGAAGTCCTCTCTAAATACTTGGTGTTGGACAAAATGAGTGTGAATAAACGCATCGAATAAGGATCTTGGTATATGGAATCCGGTCATTCAGAGGGTAGAGACGAGGTTAGCAGGTTAGCAGAAAAAGCTACTTATCCAAAGAAGGCAAGGAAGTTCTTATAAAGAGCACTTTATTGAGTATCCCTACATATTGCATGTCCTTGTTCAGTGCACCTACCACTGTGATAGGTAAGTTGGAAAGGTTTCTTTTCCTATGGGATGTGGTGGATGGGGCAAAGAAGTTCCAATTAGTTCGATTGGACACTGTGACATCTCCTTAATGGTGGGGTAGACTCGGTGTTAAGACCACTTTTGGGTAAATGGTTGTGGAAATTTTGGGTGGAGGGAGAAATTTTATGAGGATGAGTGCTTGCAGATAAATATGGTGAAATGGAAGGGGGATGGCGAACAAATGTTATCACTATGCCTTTCAGGTGTGTTGTGTGGAGGAATATAATGAAGGGGTGAGATGATTTTAATGGTACCATTACTTTTAAGGTTGGGGATGGGAGTAGAGTTAGCTTTTGGGGAAAAAGTGGTGTGCAGGTTTGGTGCTTAAGGATGAATTCCCAATATTGTACAAAGTCTCTTGGTGGGAGTTGTCTGTTCAGCAAGTTAGAGGGACAAAAGGGGATGAGACTTTTTAGGATGTAAGGTTTAGGAGGAATTTTCAGGATTGGGAGGTGACGAAGTTTCAAAGATTGCTAGTTTTACTTCAAAAGCAATGTGAGCCAGTTGACAGACCTGATGCTTTGAGTTGAGAGTTAGGAAATATCGATCTGTTCTCAGTTAAGTCCTTCTATGAAAAGCTTCTGGTTAGGCCAGAGGTTTAGTTTTCCACATATCTCAGTTTGGATTGCTAAGGTGCCTCGTGCCGAGAAGGTGTGCCTTCTTGGCGTCGTTAGCTACTAGAGGGGTGATTTTGACAGCGGAGAATCTTAGGAAATGAAAGGTTATCTTCTTGAGTTGTTGTTTTCTTTGTACGGAGGTGGGTGAAGATGTGACCATACTTACTTAGGTAGTACTGAAAACCCCTTTACAAAAAAGTAAGAAAATATAGGAACAGAAACAGCAAGCCTAGCATGATTCTAATAGGATTACTTTTGCATCTATAGGGGAACTCTTTGTACACCAAAAACATAATAACAGAATACAATCTGTTTTGAACATTTGTAGGGAACTAGGGATCTTCTTCTATCCTCAAAGCTTCTAGCATTCCTTTCTCTCCAAATGGTCCTCCAATAACTTCTGGTCTTTGCCCCAATTCCTGCTTCCTCCTAACTTGAGGGAGTGTCAGCAATCTTACTAGGCATTGTCTATTGAATGTCTCTGAGATTAAGGAATTTAGAGGAGAAATCCCCAGGGACAGAAGTGAATGAGATTCCATCTGTAAAGGAATTTGCTATGGAAGTTGTACTGAGAGAGGATAACTCCGACAACAAAGCAAAGGAGTCAGTGACGATTATTTTAGGGGTGAAGGAGAGGGGGATAGACTATTTCAAAAAAAAGAAGGAGAGGGGGATAGACACAATTGAAGACTGACAGTACAGGATGGATAACTCGATCACTGGTAGGGAGACATGGGAGATAGAAGAAGCAATTCCCAATGCAACAGAGATAGAAAATGCAACAACTGAGCAGGAGAGAGTTAACTCTGCTTGGGTTCGCAAGAACATCATCATGCTTGGCAAAATGTTCAGAGCAGATTTTAATGTGACCATAGTTTATTACATTGCAAATTAGCTACAAGCTTATGCGATAATATCCTTAGATGGTTTGGAGTTTCTTGAGTAATGCCAATATCCGTAAAGGAGTTGAGTTTCAGCGGGGGAAGAGTGGAGCTAGGAGAAGAAGACACAAGGCTTGGAATGTTACCGCTCTTGCTTTAATGTGGGTCGTTTGGAAAGAGAGAAATAGGAGTGCTTTTGAAGGGGAGGAGATGAGCTTTGTTCAATTGAGGAGTAGTCTCCGATCCCTTATTTTCTTTTGGTTCACCCATGTTGTTCCTGTTTGTATAGAGGATGGGGTGTTTTTTTTGGAGAGAACCATATTATGTAGGTTTCTCCTCTTTTGGTATAGCACTTGTATATGACCAAGTTGGCCTTCTTATTATAATTGAAACCTTTTGCTTGATCAAAAAAAAGAAATACCAAATTCTTATTAAGGGTAGAGGGATCTCATCCATCCCACCGCACTCCTTTGGTCGTGACTTCTCATTGTTAGGTACTAGGGGAGTTCCAGAATTTTAAGAAGACGAGTGCACTATTACGACTTACGAGGAAGTGAATTCAGGATTTAGCTTTGACTTGTTTAATTTTTGGGTTCTTACCATTGAACCCAACTCACTTCTTCAATTATAGATCCAAAATTTTTGTTTTAAATCTTAGTAAGTTTTTACACGCACTCGCCCAATTGTAAAAAAGAAATGAAAAAACAACAAGACAAACATGGGATTCACCTATAGAGGTGCACCCAGTAACAATTGCATTATATGAATCTTTGAGCTTTGGTTAAATACTTCTGAAGAAATATAACACTGTTATACATGGTCTTAACTCTAGAGAGAGGAGCATGGGTGCACATGACCCATGCCTCTCACATAGATCGGTCAGTTGTTATGCATCACTTTGCTAGACTTAGCTGCAGACTGGCAGAATGTTTCAGTTTTTTCTTGTTAAGTGTTTGTTTTTCTCAATTTCAACATTTCTGTTGCTTTTGGCCTGAGTTTGATAGAGTTTAAGGATTGCAAATGAGCTTGCAAGTCCATTTACCTATATGAATACTTAACTACGAAGTTCACAAAAAAGTTCTAGTTTCTTCCCATTGTTCACAATCATTTTTTGGCCTCTGTCATATGTTTGTATTGTGTGGTATATCTTCCTGTTTGCGTGAAACAATATTCATAGATTTATCGGTTCTGTTGTTTTCCACTTACGCTGCTTTATATCATGTGATGCAGAGGCTGAGCAATAAGATCAACTACGATGTGCTAGAGAAGCTTTTTGATGATTCTGTATGTGCTTCTCCTACTCCAAAAATTCTTGAGAATTCCTTTATACCTTCTGCTGTTACTTTCAATTTTGCTTAGATGTCAATTCCTTTGCCGGAGTATTGTTTTCTTTTTAAAAAAAAATCTTCAGTTTTGACCTTATTAGGTATACAGAATCTTGGGTGTTGGGGGTGAATGGAGATGGCTGGTGTTTGAGACATAATTATCCATAATATTTGGATATTTAAGAAGCTGGGAAGTACTTAAATAATGAAAACTTAGTTATGCTGCATCAAAATATTGTAGAATTTTCCAGTTCTACTGCTTGCTCAATTTGTAATTACTGGGAACTGCATGTGAGAAACTCTACTATTACAAGCGTAAGTTTTGTATCCTAAGGTATAACGTGCCCTTTCCTCTGTAAAGGGAACTGAGTTACAGTTTCTTGAAAAGGAGAAATGTATGGTTTATCTTGAGTTGGGTTCCGGATTTTCTTGTGATTAATATAAAAAGATTTGACAACCAAACACACTCATAAAATTAGGAAGAGAGATAAGAAACCTTGAAACAACAAGTCCTAGTAGAACTTCTGTAGCACCCTGAAAATTTATAGTTACATGTGTTCATCTAAAGGACAAATTACTCAAATCCTTTGGCTTATTGCTTTCATAACTCATCTCCATATATATGTTTAACTCATGGTCATTTATGCAGTTACCTGAGAACCCAAAGAAAGCTCGAACTGCATACGATTCAACAGATGATTACGGGGTAAAGAGCGACAAAATTGATCCAGAAGTAGATGAGAATTATGAACACACATTTGGCGAGGATGTGCATTACGGTGAGGATGTTGGAGGATATGGCTATGATCAAGACTATGATTTGGATGATTATTGAATTAATCTGCCTTCCATATGGCTGGTTTCCCCTTAAGAAACAGAGGATACAAGATGTCAGATAGCACATTTTCCTTCACTTGTATTAGGAACTGTTGGGATGGCTAACTGCATCTCAAAGTTATTTTCTTTTTAATTGTCATTAATTAATTTATTTTCTGGGAACACTTCCCATTGCTGGAATGTTAAAAAGTGTATCAGCTTTACTTGTGAGAGAATTCGGTTCTTTCTTAGAATAAACGTTTGCATGGTTGAAGTTAAATCTGGTAATCTGTTCTGTCTTGATAAGAATGTGCCGCACCACTTTGGAGGGCATTTTCATACGTGAAGGGAAGTCTTTCTTTTCCGAGCCGTTCTAGTTTTGTAAAGTTAAAAAGTGCATCTCCATTTTAAAGCTGGAGATCTACTGCTTTCCTTTCTTCTGAAACCTACTTGACTCTGAAATACTTACCTTTTCACAAGGGAGAAGAAAAGTAGATAAACTAGAGAACCAGTATCTTGATGTTACATAGGACTTGTAACATTTCTATATATTGAAATCGTTATATTTGTCAAATAACAAACGTGCAGAAAGGATTCCTCTTTTCTTATTGAAAAAATTTATGAGCGTTAGTGACCTCAATATAAGACTTTGAGGCTACAAAAAGGACTCAAAGCATTCAAAGTGGTAATGTTGCATATTCTTAGTTATTGAAAGAATAATAATTTATAGGCAGTAAACCTGAAAGAGAGGAGTCATTTTGCTAGCGTAGGCAGATCAAGAAATCATTTTCATCGAACTAAAAAAGAATAAGTGGCGATGATCCACCTACACAACACTGCTAAACACATAGCAGAATCCAAAAGCTGTCTAATATACAATACAATGATGACTTAAACACCCCACTTTAGTATGTATCCATCATCTTGGCATATTGCAAGTTTTCTGAAAAATATAAATGAATCCATGGCACACTCGAGTGATTCATATTGCAAACACCATGTACAGAATACCAGGCATTGAACAATTTAGATGAATCTCTCCTCTGCCCTATCTTGTGCCAGAAGTACATGTCAGACAACGAACCTGCTTCAGAGAGACCAGCAAAAAGAAATTTAACTTTCTAGAAATCAATCTTATATGATTACAAGGAACTATCCGTCAGAACTGGAATGACACCCCCATACTGTGTAAAATATGCAAGAAATATATGAAACAAGATAAAAGAATTACTATTAAATTCTGTCTTCTTCTTTATCTGTGGCAACCTAGAGATGCCATCATCTCAGCACTTGAACAGGATGAAGCTTCTGCATGCTATTTCTTCCTTTGAGCAGCCTGTGATAAGTTGAAACCGTATATGTAAGGAAGTTCCTTAAAAAAATACTTTTAGGATGGACAACGACGTACTGAAAAATTTCTTTCTAAACTATAAAGGTAAGGAGAGATGAGTAAAATGGAGCAGTTTGTAACAATAACAGTAACAATTCCACAAAGGAGAAGTGAAACGAGAAACTCTTTTAACTCCTCAAATCAACTCAATCTGTCCTCCTTTCTTTTCCCTTCCATTTTTCAGTACAAGCATGGATATTTTCTTTCAGAGCACCAGCGAAGTTGTATCTGACCTCAAAATTAGGTAATATATGTAAAAGATGAAACCCAATTGATGGCTTCTCGCTGATTTGGTTGTGTTCCACTCCATTCATGCACCTCTCGACCCTCCGAACATACTAGCAAAGCACATTCTTTTTTCTTTTTTTTTTTGAAAGAAATCAATTCATTTCTCCAATAACATCATCTTGTGTGGTTGAATGTAGAAAGTCAAAAGAGCAGTAAATGGACAGGTTATACTACCTAATTTGATTATAACCTCACTTGCTGACAAAATAGAAAAGTTAATAGAAGTCATCCATCAAGCTTTCCTGCAGTCTAGTCTCAGTAGCAACTAGTAGCAGAATCAGATTTTCCTAAAGACTATGCAGCAATTTAGCAGTTAAAACAACCCTACTGAAATAATACTTCCTTCTATCACTTAGCAAAGTCAAGCCCTATCAGATTTCCTCAGCAGAAAACATTCATACATACTACTTTTTTTAAATAGAATTTAAGATCCCTACCCAGAAAACTTCCCTAATATTTTAAGTCACAAACAAACAAACAACTTCTGCTGGAGGCGCACAGGCATAACTTCAAAAACTCTTTACAATTTTTTTTATAACCCTTTTTACATAAAAGGTTCTCCTCATAGTTACAGATGCAATTACTACTCTTAATAAGATTAACTTTGAGTTCTTTTCAACCATAGATACATATTCAGAAGGATTTCAACTTGAGGTAAAAAAAAAAAGACAACAAATTCAGATAGAATAGACCTATTTGCGAATTCATTACAATCTACAGCACTGTATAAAAGGATATATCAGAATGTAAAACAACAGTTTAAAGCAGTTCATACCTTCCTCATTTTTTCCAATACTGAGTCTTCAAATTTCTGGTATCCAGCACCTACAAGATTACTCAAACTCGGGCCCTCAGATTCTCCATTTTTCTCAGCGTTAGGAAACGGAGATGGCATTGGAGGTTGGAGAGGCACAATTAAGAGAGGATTTGATAGATCCCCCAAGACATTTCCACAAGAAGCTCTCTAAAAAAGGGAAAAAAACGTTACTGATGTATTCCAAACAGTAGAGATGATCAATTAAAATCAACACTCAATTTCCTTATATTAATCAAGAATAGTACTCAATTTCATAAAGTACTCACAGCTGCGTCTTTAGATGACATGACAACAAGAGCAGAGCCTTTCTTCTTAGAACTCTTGATTACTACATCTTCAACCTCACCAAACTCACTAAACAACTCTCTTAGTCTTTGGGCAGTATAGTCTTCACCGATCTTCTCCCAAGATACCTTAAGCACCTTTTCCCTGTCTACACTACTCCCATTGCCTTCTGTACTACTCTCCTTAGCTCTAGCATGTGCCTCTTTCTGTAAAGGATCTATAGGAGTAAACACTTTCTTTGAATGCATTGCACGAATTCGAGCAATTTCCTCCTTAAGTTTTCTAGCAATTCGTTCCTCCTCATCTCGAGCTAGAACACTTGCATCAGGTGAAAAAGCAGCACGCTCTCTTGCATCGAGATCTGACATCATCTTTCTACGCTTTGAATCGTGTTGTGATTGGCGTTGGATCTTCTCACGTTTCACACGAAGTAGATCATCAAATAGCTTCCTAGCTTTCTCATCCTTGAGAATCTCGTATGAAGTTTTCAGCTTTTGAAAGTTCAAGTGAGCATTTGGGTCATCACGCCTCTTGTCTGGATGCAACTCTAATGCTTTCTTCTTATAGGCTTTAGATATGTCTTTCTCAGAAAGTTGGGCCCCTTCCTCACCAGAGGGTAAACCCAAAGCAGCATAATGATCAACTTCAATATCCATTTTCTACCCCGGACTTTGAACTGTGCAACAAATTCAAACCAACTGCATCAGACAAACTATAAGATTAAAACTACAAACTGAAATAATTGACAATCATAAACTTTTCAAGATAGATTTTAGCTAGCTAAGGAGAGACTTAACCAATGACACATCAATAGATTGATAAAGGTACCATTCAGCAGTTAACAAGTTCTATTAGTGTAGATCCTGTCACTGGTTCTATTCCCAAGTTCATTGATATTATAGATAGGGTAACAAATGATTTGGCTTGGAAAAGTTAAAAAAGGACACGTGGAATTAAATAACATAATAGAAAAACCATTTGTGAACAGAACTTCAATAAGCTTCATGTATATTATTACTAATAACTATTAAAGATTATAAACAGGAGAAGATCCAAACAGGAATATTGATGCAAGAATTAGCCACAACTTCAAGAATTACCAAGGTCATAGGTTGTAAGGCAACAACAACAACATACCCAGTGTAATCCCATAGTGGGTCTAGGGAGGTAAGAGTGTACGCAGACCTTTCCCCTACCCTGAGGTAGAGAAATTACTTTCGGAAGACCCTCAACAATGCATATCAAAGCAGTTTGGAGAAAAAATACAGAAGTAAGGAGGACATAGCAAATGATATGGAAAACTTCACATGGCATTCAAAAAACAGAAAGAGCAACAATAGCCAAATAATGTGATAATCGAAGCACAAGAAACATGTAGTAACAAAAATCGCAGGACAAGAAACTACGAGAATAATGTTGCTACTACTGGTATGGAAGGAGAAACATGTACGGAGCACCAATCTAGAAAGCAAGACAACACTAAACTACTTACTAACCATCTACCTCATATCCTCCTATCTTAGGTCATATCCTATTAAGCTCAAGATGTGTCATATCATGTCCTGTCTAATACTCTCCCTAAAACTTATCGGTATTCATCAATCCTATTGATGGGAATCTGCGCATCTCCTTTTCACATGCTCGAACCATCTCAATCTCGCTTCGCTCATCTTGTCCCCTTCCACCTTGTCCCAAATATATTCATTCCTAATCTTATCTCTCCTAATACGCCCACACATCCACGCATTCTCGCAAGTTTCACTTTTAGAACATGACAGTTCTTAACTGGCCAACACTACGCCCCATACAACATAGTTTGCCACTTGACCTAACCACCACTCCGTAAAATTTACCTTTAATATTAGTTATCTAAGTGAGGCGGCTATAATACAAATTTTTCCCTAAACTATCAAACTGTTGGTTAGCTTTTTCCTCCGCCAGAAATTGGCAACAAAAGTACCCTCATTGTTACCCTTCCATATCATATTTTCCCTTCTTCTCCACCTCAGCAAAAGAATCTTAGCTGCAATTCACCATCGTCCACAAAAGTTCACACATAGATGACACGTTTGAGCCAATTCAGCCAGACAATACCAACTCCAACACCCATTGAGCCAACTCAGAAGCCCATGCCCATGAGCGCATCCAACACTCAAGACAAAAAATATCCCAAATTCCCGAGAATCTGTCAAACCCCTTCGTGACTCCCTTTTCAGAGGCAGATGCAGTGCCTGTGATACGGGTTCATAGAGTAACTTCAGCTCAAAATTTGTATATACTTTTAAAAATTCACTAAATAAGTACAAATAATAGTTTTGAAATCCAGAAAATCGAGTGGATTTATGGTAAAATTCCGGACTCAAACGCATAGTATTTAAATTCTAGTTATGCTCCTCTTCTGTTTAGGTCAAAAGAAGTTGAGTTGACTCACAACCATATGGAATTCTACACACCTTGTTATATTCTTACCATGAAAGAAACAACAGATTGTCTCAGAAAAAGCACTACTTTTTTATTCTTCCAGCAGAAGAGGGTATACTATGAGAGAGGAGCCGGAATGGGAAGCCGGCAGATGAGATTCCAAAATTATTTAGTATGAGATTAGAAGCCTAGCTCATACAGTGCTCAAGATAGTTTAAAATCTAAAGAAAAGGGAAAACGAAGATCAAGCAAGGGAATTCTGTAAGATCAATCAACAACCTGCAAACACCAAAATGCAACAATAAGGTCATATGGAAACTCTAATTACATTTCCAAACAATGTAGTGACAGCACTTGGGATCAAAAAGACAAATAAAAAGTTTCAGGTGTGAATGAGAAGCAAGTATACAAGTGTGTATATTATGCACAACTATCAATCTTCTATAGATAAAAGAAGACATATCAAGAAGAAGAAGATGGAAACTCTAATTTCACTTCCCAATTATACAGGAACAGGTACGATAAAAAAGAACAAAGAAGTTTCAGGTATGAATGAGAAGCAAGTGTACAAGTGTATAACAGTATACATTATGCACAACTGAAGCTTTTACCAGAAGAAAAAGATGGAAGCTCTAATTCCACTTCCAAATTACATAGTGACCGCACTTGGGATAAAAAAGAACACAAACAACAGGTTTCAGGCATGACTTAGAAGCAAGTTAACAGGTGCATAACTAAATATGTTATGCACAACTAAAGCTTCATACACTAATAATTTTTTAGTGTGAACAAGTGCATAGCTGTAACAAGTTAACAAGTGCATCACTGAATATGTTACACTGGAAATTATCCTCTGCACAGTGTACATACCAATTTACTGCCAGAATCACACTCAAACGTTAAGACAATCATATAGAATAAGTTTTTGAAGAACTTCCTTAAAATAATACAGCATTTGCTTAAGTCCAGACTCACTACATATATTACCAATTGTCTAATGGGCAGCAAAAATGTGAAATTTTGCTGCTTCATTACACCTGAGAGGAAAACAATAAGCTTTTTTTTTATTGTTGAGAATAAAACAAAAGGTATTTTCTTTTGTGCAATAACTTTGTCTTTTCACTCCACAACAGAAAGGCCAGTCATGCTCTCTACAACAACCTATCTATGACATGAAAAAGTGTAGCTTGAAAACAACGGCAGATCCACAATTTAAAAGGCCATGGGTGCTCATACACCCACTCAGCTCTATGGGGGTTCGTCCCTAGCTGCAAGAGAGAAGAACCAAATGTGCTAGTGAAAGGCAGTCACTTTACCTTGTGATAAAAAAGTAAGTATGTATTCCTAGGTGAGAAGATCTCAGGTGTGTTGTAGACGATGAACAGAGGAAAGACAAAAAGGGTAAAATTAAAATAAAACATGCAAATTAAGAAAAGGAACATGAATCATTTCGACGGGCATCTTTACTAATGACCTGTATCATGGGTGCTCACCACATATAAACTTATCACTAATGATCATGAGAAACACCAATTTTAAAGGCGATGCAATGACAGAATTATATAAAAGCAAGCTTAACCAATTATCTCCGACTGATATCAATATATGATCAAACTGAGATGGTCAATAGATACTCAGAAAGTTACCTAAGGTGCATGACCTTTGAGATACCTAAGGAGTGGCAACAATGGTAATCCTTAGATGAATTTTGGTATAATACTTCTTACCACGCCTCTATACATATGACCTTCTATGAAGCAGTTTATGGCCAGAAGCCATCCTCATTGCTTCCTTACATGGCATTTGATTCCTAACTGGATTTGGTTGATAGGAGGTTGAGGCCAAGAGAAGCCACATTAAGGAACATTAAGTTCCACCTTGAGAGATCCTAGAGTAAAATGAAGTTGTTGGCTGATAAGGGGAGGACTGACAGATCCTGTAGTGTTGGTGATTGGGTCTATGTCAAATTAAAGTCCTACGGGATATTATCCTTAAGGTATCATGCTTATCAGAAGCTTTTATCCATGTTTTTGGGACCCTTTAAGATCTTAGCCGGGGTCGGAGCTACTGCTTACACTTAAGAGTTGTCCATTGCCTCCAAGATCCACCCCAATTTTCACATTTCTCAGTTGAAAAGAAAGTTAGGATCTCACATTGCTTTTGCGACCCTGCATGTTGTTCAAACTGAAGTTGGTCCTGTCCTTTTGGAGCCTGAAGTAGGGTTGGATAGAAGATCGATCTAGAAGCATGAAAAGGCTACTCCTCAGCTTCTGATCAATGGTTTAGTACTGCTGATAAGGACAGGACTTGGGAGGACTATTCCTCTTTTGGTCAGCAGTTCCCTCACTTCAATCCTTGAGTACAAGGATTGTCTCAAGGGGAGGGTAGTTGATATGATCCTAATGTGTCCTCCTCAATTTGGATTGTAGAAGTTAGTTAGTTGTAGTTATAAGCCTCATGTGAGCTGCACGTGAGAGGTCCTTTTAGGTTGTTAAAACACTTAAGAGTTAGTTATAACAGTTTTCTGGAAGTTCTTTTCCTATTCTTTTCAATTGTGTAGATTTCATATATGTAGTTAGTTCCTGTCAATTGTAATCATTCAGAAAGTAAATCAATACAAACATCTCCCTCTTTTCTCAATCAGTGTTTTCTATATCAATACACAAAGTTGCTCAAGGGCAATTCTCAATTCATTTTCTCTTTAGGCTAGCTCAATATTTCCAATTCTACTTGTAATCACGTCACATCCACTAAAGAAGAAGAAGACGACATTAGAACAGGAGATGGAGGTTTTTTCTCTTTTTCCCTAAAAGACAATCTTTTATCGTCTATACTGAAGGTAATTAAAGTGAATGGTTTTCTATTATGTATCCAGAAGGCCATTAGTTCGAATAATTCAAATTCATGGGCGTATGCAGGGGAATTATCAGACTCCGCAAAATGAGCAATCAAAGTATAAACGGAATCTATCAATACAAATATTAATAAAGAAAGATGAGTATTGGATTTGATAAAGCAAACTATTTTGGAGTGACTGACATTGAGTTGACGAATCGATGGTAGTAGCAATTGCAGACTGTACGAACAACCCTGGTAAGAAATCCCGAAACCAGTTTTAGCCCTAGCAAATTGGGAAAAGAACAATAAGATGTTGAAAAAGCAATTGCATAGTAAAATTCGATGACTTTAGTATTTAAGGACGGGGATTTATCCCAAAAAAAACTTACCAGTAGCCGTTGAAAACTCGGAGAAACTTGGTAATATGGCAACAACGTTTGGGTAGAGAACTGTCAGAGGTATGCTGGGGCGAATTCTGTAGACTATCTTTTCCGGTGGTGTCTAACAAAGTCAGCGATGATGAAGTGAGTCTGAGGAAGACGAAAAGGAGAGCAACAGGGTACTACTCCAGATATATAATTTTACAAGACCAAAGGCAGTTTTTACCCAATCAGAACAAAAAGTAAGCTTCCAAAAAGACAATAAGCACAAGAAAAAACTGGGCTTGACCTTGGATGGCCGCAATAGAGTTAGCCGGAGAAAACGTCCGGGAATCCGGCGGGTGTGGACCTCCGGCGGCGATTAAGAGAGCAAGTATCGGAGAGGTATTAGGCTTTTGAAAGGATAGATAGAGTATCACTTTGATACCTAAGGATTGTAATATTGAGATTTAAACCCTCATTTTTAGATTAATATATAAAGTGGTATGCCCAGTCCCACAGTCTCATAAAATAACAGTCAGGTAAATTTGGGAATTGATACCATATTTTTTTATAGAATATATAAACTATATATATGTTCCACAATTATTATTTGGTGACTTAAACAGATAACTTTTTTATAATTATTTTTACATATAATTTCTTTTAGATATTTTGAATTGTTAATTATAATACTTTTCTATATAATTTTTAAATATGTAGAAATTAAAAATCTATATTAAATTTACATGAAATTACGGGTCCGTTTGACCCTACGATATGAAATCATGAGACAAAATTGAAATTTGTTTGGTCATGCAATTTGGACTTTTTATGTTATATGTTTTCTTATGAACATAAAAAACTCATAAATTGTAAAACTATTAAAATTGTCCCAATTTTTATACAATCTTACTAAATATGCAAAAGCTTATAAATCACATAATATACTATTACAAAGTTATTTAAAAAAAACATTTATTGATCAAACTTTAATTTAATAAAAAATAAAATTGAACATAAGTTGTAGAGTCTTTAATATAATCCTCTCACTTAGTACGGTCAATCTTCTCACGTTAAATTTGCGTTTTTTGATCATATGACCGAGAAGATGAACCAATAATTAGGGCGGATTTTTTAAGTATACAAATTAACAATTGTATTTACACCAACATAGCAATACTTTTTTTTTTCAAAAGTAGAATTTTAAATTAAAAAAAAAAAAAGATTTTCCAAATCAGCCATGCTTATCCCACTTCCCATTAATTTCTCCAATAATTTTACCTTCCCTAATTTATTCAAATATGCTATATATTATCTCCCATAAATAGAGGTTTCCTACCAAAAAACATAAACTCCTTTCTCTGACTTAAAAAAATCGGGCCAAAACAAAGAACGATTATTGAAAAAAATGCATACCAATAATTTTCTCAATTCTAATTCAACACAACGGGCGATGGGACTCAGCAGGTAATTATATAAAAAATAATTCTCATGATTTTATATTTTGTGGTTGAATTTGATTTTTCACAAATATCTATTTTGTACTTTTTGGTAGTTATTCGTTTTATTTATTTTGTCAATTTTGGTGTAAAATTAATTCATACAATTTGGTTGATGTTCGGGATCGTCCAAATTTTTGGTGTAATTTCAACAATTTCGTATGATTTTGTTGTACACTGATGTGTAAAATTTATTTTTTGTTAAAGTTTATGTTTAATTGGTATGATGTGTTCCGTATGGTAGCAAATATTTTATATCAATAAGTTTTCAATATGTATTTCTGTATTTGTTTAAGTATTTGATCTGGTATAATTGTCACTAATAGCTGACACCAAAACAAATAGCCTGATGCATGATTTGGTGTATTGTTTGGTCAACTTATAGTATCTTACTTATGAACGTATATTAAAGTGAGTGTAGTTATAAATAATTTGGTGTAATTGGTGGTGTCAAAAACTACAAGTTTGACAATCTATGGTATATAATTAGAACCTCGTAATAAACTTATGGTACATATTTTAGTGAATTTTAAGTATGTGAATTGGTGTAAATAATAATATGCAAAATAGTTCGTACATTTACTGATGGTAACCTGATAAAATCATAAATTTTATAAATTGGTTTAAGGGTATGTAATCTTTGACTGTTTTTTTTACGTTTATTATATGGTTAAAATATTGGTAAATAATTTGGTATTTCTTTGACTGTTTTTTTAAGATAATTAAATGGTTAAAATTTTGGTAAATACTTTGGTATTTCAATAAATGGCTTATATACCAACGAAAATCAATGTATAAACAAATCTAAATAAGTTGATGACTGTAGTAGGTAATTCTGAAAGTTCCTTTTAATATTAACAAAGAATTTGTTATTTTAAACAGGCAATTACGTGGATTACAATATTGAAGGAGTTATGTATGATCCAACCACCAAATACGAAGGCTTGCTTACAGCTATATCTTCACAATTAGGAGTGGACACAACAATTTATCATTTGGAACTAAGGTATTTCGTGAGTGGTCTATCTCCACCAATGAAGATACATAACGATACGGGAGTGCAAGTTTATTTAGATCAAAAGAAATGCAATTCAGATTTCTTTTCAAAATATCCTTTATGTGTGACATGTGTGGACAAAGCTATGGAATCCATTGAGTACCAAACAAATGTCCAAACAACACGTCAACATATTATGGGATCCAACACACTATGTTTGACTAACATGGAACCAATTTCGGAATGTTACATTGAAGAATCACAAGGAACTGAAATAATTTCAAATCCTCAACACTCTTTGGTGGCCGAGGATCAAGTTTATATAAACAAGCAAACTATATCTGAAGTTATGAAGCGATATGCATTTCTAAGAGAGTTTTGTTTCGTTGCAAAAAGATCAAGTCCTACCTGATGAGTTATTATATATGTTGATTTTAAAAACTATCAATATATTTTAACAACTTACCATGTATTAATATGGATGAGTTTTTGCAGTTACTATCTAAAGTGTGCTACAGAAAACTGTTCATGGGTTTTTAAATCCTCATGTTTGAATAATTCAAAGTTATTCAAAGTGAGGAAATTCTATGATACACATTCTTGTCCATTGAAGGACCGGATTCAATCAAAGCGACATTTAAAATCAACATACGAAGGCACAATGTTGATAGCTAGCACATTAGATCCAGGAGGTACTGTTTATACCATTACTACAACTAGATTGATTTGTTTTATATATAAACAATATATGTTGTATTTATTTTGAAGATATTTGTTGTATAGGTCACATCTTGCCGCTTGCATACGGAATAGTTGATTCAGAAAATGATGATTCATGGTTATGGTTCTTTGAGAATTTTAAAAATGCATTCGGTGAAAGGGAAGATATGTGCTTTGTTTCTGATAGAAATAAGAGCATTTGGAATGCTACTGCAGCTGTTTATCCGGAATTCAGACATTACCCATGCATATACCATCTATGGACCAATTTACTAAAGAAAACATACAGAGATACATAAGAGGTTAGAACATTATTCTTCAGTTTAGCAAAAGCTTACACTGTTCAAGAGTTTGATGAATTGATGAAAAGGATGGATCAAATTAATCCAAAATACCGTGCTTATCTACAAAAAGCAAATTATGAGAAATGATCACGCACATTCACCAGTAAAAAGGACTTGGACACTAACAAGTAACATTGCAGAGTCACTAAATAACGCTATTCTTGTTGGAGGAAGGTTACCAATGGTACCATTGTTGGAATTTGTTAGAAAAACAATTGAAGCTTGGAATGAGAAACACAACGAAGAAGGTAGAAATACTACAACAACCTTGACAAGTAAATACAATGAAATGTTGGAGGACAATAGAAATTTGTCTCATCGTATGCTTGTAAGTATTAACAATTCTCTACTATGCATATTATGTTTTGGTTTTATTATTGATAATGAATGCTCTTAAATGAAGGTACGCGCATAACAATACACCTTTATACCATTACAGATGGTGCTAAGAGGTTTACAGTATGTCTGAATACACGAATATGTAGTTGTGGCAGATTTCAACATGATGAGATCCCTTGTAGTCATGCACTTGCAGCGA